CTCCGATGTGTGACCCCGTTTACGGGCCGCAGTTCCCTCCTCCGGACTCCTCTCCAACTCGTTTTCCCCCGCGCTCCCCTCCATCCCCAGACTTGTCCCCAGTCTCTCTTCGTACTAGTGTCTACCCTATGGTTCTTCGTTTGCGTGCTCCTCCAGTCACAGTCCTCTCGTTACCTCCCTCGTCGTCGCTTCCGCCGTTCCCCCCTCCTGGCTTCGACGCTGCTCGTCCTACCCCCTCACGCTTGCTTGCGTCGCTTGTCACTGACCCTACTGCTCCTCCTGAGACTGTCTCTGTGCTTGTCGCTGTTGTCACTGACTTCGCCGCTAGCCACCGCCTTGACTATGATGCCGCTCTGGTCTCTGGTACTACCCGTCCTCCGTCCGTCGGGTGTGCACCTGTCCTTTGCAGTGACCTGCTAGAGGACAGGTAGTATGAGTTGGCCTACCTTGCTGGCGCTGTTCCCCATCTCTGCTCCATGCTTGTATCCCCAGAGGTTGACCCAGACGCTCTCGACATCCTTGTTTCGCGCTCTTACGCTGAGGTGGTGTCGGGGCCCTGGGCAGCCCAGTGGATACAGGCCATGGAGGCTGAGATGGCATCCTACAGATCCACAGGCACTTACGTCGACGCAGTTCCCCCGCCTAGGGCGAACATAGTCGATGGCATGTGGATCTACAGGGTGAAGCGCGCACATGGAGAGCCGCCGAAGTTCAAGGCGCGTCACGTGGCTAGAGGCTTCAGACCGCGTGAGGGTGTGGAATTCTTCCAGACCTTCTCCCCGACCCCAAAGATGACTACTCTTCGGGTCCTTCTTCACATAGCCGCACAGCGTGACTACGAGCTTCACTCACTTGACTTCTCCACAATGTTCCTTCAGGGTAGTCTGCACGAGCAGAACTACCTCCGTTGCCCTCTAGGCTTCTCTGGGTCCTTCCCACCTGGGACCGAGTGGAGCCTATGCCATCCTGTCTATGGCCTTCGTCAAGCACCCCCGTGAGTGGCACGACACGCTTCGCACCACTCTTGCTGAGCTGCAGTTCTTTCCATCCTCTGCTGACCCCTTTCTCTTTGTTCTACATAGTGTACAGAGACAATCTTATCTTTGCTACTCCTAAGAGAGTGGCACTGGCCTCAGTGAAGGCCGAGTTACTTAGGAGACACACCTGTACAGACTTGGGGAAGTTGAGGCATTATCTGGGCTTAGAGATCTCTCGTGACCATGCTGCTCGCACGATCACACTCTCCCAGTCCCATATGGTGCAACAGATCCTCCAGAGGTTCAGTCTCTAGTTCTCCTCAACAAAGCCCACACCTCTGTCTATGGATCAAAGCTCTCTTTTCCTGTTCGGTCGAGGCTAGTGGTCCATACGTAGAGCTGGTGAGGTGTCTTATGTACCTGATGACCTGCACTCGACCGGATCTAGAGTACCCTCTCAGTCTCTTGGCTCACTTTGTTGCGACAGGCAGGCACCGACCAGTCCACTGGTCAGCTGCCAAGAGGGTACTGCGGTATCTGGCGATTACATCAGGACTGCGGCTTGTGCTAGGAGGACGGGAACCAGTGGTGCTCACTGGACACAAAGACGCGTTGTGGGCTGACGATGTGGAGATGCTCAGGTCGTCTCAGGGCTACTATTTTAGTCTTGGTGCTGGTGCATTCTTGGATGTCTACCAGGTCATTGTCTGTAGCTCAGTCCAGTTGTGAGGCAGAGATCTACGTTGGGGCTATGGCCACTCAGAAGCTCCGAGGCTGACGTTCTTGCTTACTGACTTAGGTGAGCAGCCTAGGTCTGCCCTGGTCCTGTGTGCTGACAACATGGCCACGATCCTTCCGTGTCAGGAGACTCAACTTGAGGGCAGCTCCACTTGCGGTACTTCCTGCTGCGTGAGTTGCAGCAGCGCGGCCATGCTCGAGTGGTACAGTTGGCCTCAGAGGCCAACACCGCTGATATCTTCACCAAGGCACTTGCGCCTCGTAACCATCAGCGGTTCTGTACTCAACTTGGTCTCGTCTCCGTAGCAGCACCACTCCTTGTATCCTGAGTCATACTATACCTGCTTGTACTTGTTGTTCTATACCTACTTGTCTTGCTACACTTGTTGACTGGCCTTGTGGCCTTTTGACTCAGTGGTCAGACTAGTAGTGCCGCCCTGAGTTGCCTTGTTGCCCTCACCAAAGGTCGGACTAGTAGTGTTGCCTTGGTGTACTTTGCCTTTTTTATGAACTGCCACTATCTAGGCTAGGGGGTGTATCAACAAATATATATATATATACAGTGGCGGAAAAAATTGCTCGGATGTTTAGCACTTTGAAACTTATCGCTATGCCTCACATGTTTTTAATGCAGTAACACCATTTTTTTCCGGTCCTCTTACAAGGTTGTCGAGTTCTGTTTCAACCGTATCCTGCTTGGCGTGATTGTGACGCAACCAAAAAGCGGGGTTGAAATATACTCCTCGACAATCGATCCGGACAGTTCATACCGAGCGACAGAGTAGATCTATTTTCGCTCGTCACTTAGGGTACACATTGTCTCGCGCAACAGTTGCTAGTCTAGGAGTTAGTCCTGAAGCGAACCTACGACCGCATCACGATGAAGCCGGTAGATGACAAGAAGCGCGGTCGTATCATAAGCATGTTGCGCAAAGGGCATTCGACTAGGAAAATAGTCAAAGTTCTTGGCATAGGCAAGAGCACCGTGCATGATTACGGCTGAAGTTGATTGCAGAGACTAGTCGCGATGAGGTGCGACCCACGATGCCCATGGCCGGCCGCCCACGCCTGATCACAACCCGCCTCCAGTGCAGAATAGTTCGAGCGATTACCAGAGGGGAGGTGAAAAGCATTGTAGATGCCGCAAAGTTGTTAGAGGAGAAGCACGCTCTGGCTGTAGACTCGAAGTCCGTCAAGAACTCGTTACGATCCGCGGGTTTGATCGCTGTGCAGCAGCCCAAGAAACCCAGGCTCTCTGCGAAAAACATACGTGATTGGCTCGCTTTCGCAAGGACGCATGCCGAGTGGACGATGGAGGACTGGAAGCGCGTGATTTGGTCTGACGAGACTAAGATTAACCGTTTCTGCTCTGACAGACGTGCGTACGCCTGGATTCTCGAGGGCACCAACCTCCAGAGCCATCAAGTCCAATAGACAGTTAAGCATGGGGGCGGATCTGTGATGGTGTGGGGTTGCATGACGTATGAGGGGGCGGGGTTCATGTGCAAGATAGATGGAAGGATGGATGGGCCGCTGTATCGCAGCATCTTGCAAGATGAGCTCTCACAGACCATCGATTTTTTCACGCTTCCCCCCTCAGAGGTCATTTTCCAGCACGACAATGATCCCAAGCACAATTCCCATCTAGTGCAAGACTGGCTCGGGGAGCAGGAGTATGCGCTGCTGGAATGGCCCTCGTCCTCCCCGGACCTTAACCCGATAGAGCACCTGTGGGCACACTTGAAAAGGCAGCTGGCGAAGTACGAAAAACCACCTAGTGGGATGCTGGAGCTGTGGGAGAGGGTGCAGGAGAAATGGGACAAGATACCGGCGGAGGTGTGCTCAAACCTCATCGACAGTATGCCGAGGAGGATTAAGGCAGTGATTCGCGCTAAGGGACGCTGGACTAGGTACTAGTTTTTCTTGTTTGTAGTTTGCTGCCTGTCCTCGGTACAAATTGTCCAGATGTGCTCTTATGATATGCTTAGGTGTTTGGATCATGTACTACACTACTCTGGTTTTTGGAGACATGAATGAGTGCTCTAACTGATCTTCTCAACGTGTATGCACACCATAAATTAAGGCTTAATGTTAACGCCGCTGCACTCATCAAAATGCCCAAAAAGACCAAACATCCGGACAATTGTTTCCATCACTATAGATAAGCTAGGTCATATTTGTTTATAGCCTACCTAATTTAGTTCTTAGTGAGTACAGCCCTAGTTTTGTATCCCTCAACCTTTTCCCTAAGACACAACTTTCCCCGCTACTCTAACAACAGGGGCAGAGCCTGGGGGGTTATGGGCGCACTTACTCGCTACTTAACAAGCCCTTTTAACTATGTGGTTAGTGACCAAGGCCCTAGATTGGTTTTGAGGCATCCATCAAGATTCTCCTTGCAAAAAAATCTGAATTTTAAGGGTCCCCTAACAAAAAATTCCGAGCCATCAGAATTACTTCAAAAACATTTCCTGAAATCTCAAAGTCTCTAGACTTGGTATAGTTGATGAATTATGTGTGTGGTGTGCACATTTGTGGGTTCAAGTCTTGATTGTTGGGGGTGGTGGGAATTCGTATCGAATTCACGCGTGTGGGGCGAGATTGGGGAAATGGGCAGGAAACGACAATTGGTGGGGAGGAGAGGGGGGAGGGGCTGGGTAGGGGGGGAGGCGACGAGATTGCACGGGTGGAGGGAATCTCTTCCCTCGCAAAGCCCCAAGGTAGGCACACATCGAGCAAATTTGGTGAAGGGCCAGCAATTTCCCTCATACAACCCTCAGCACACATCGAGGCCAATATATGGCTACGGGCCGATCACCTCCCTCACACGATCTCCAACATACAACGCGGAGATTTTTTTTACAAAGGGCCAATCAGCGCCCTCACATGGCCTCAGGGGGTGGTGTGTGTGTATGTGGGGGGGGGGGGGCAGAACCTTGAAAATTTTGATTGGCCCCCCTAAACGCGCTTTTGGAAAGGACTAAGACTCGCTACAATGTTGAGAAATTTAGGGTTCTCTAAGAAACCTTGCTGAGCAATCAGAGTTTACCCTTAAAAAAACCTGAAAAAACAGGGTGTGTCATTCACAAAATCCTGCACAATTAGGGTAAGTACTGACAAACTCCCTATTTTTTTCCTGAATCAGGAAAATTTCCTTGACTTTTGTTAGTGAATGAGTTCTGACAAGTACCGTATCCACCCGGATAGGCGCCCCCCTGGGGGATAGGACCCAGAATCCTTTAATCAGCTAATGGGGCTTATGCGCGTTATTTGATTATAAGCGTTGAAAGGAGCTATGAAGCTAGCTAGGCCTGAGAATGGCGAGAGGTGGAGAAAAGTGACGAGAGAAAAGAGGGTTGGACTAGAAGAGAGAGGGATACAAGAATGGTGTTGTACCCTCTACAGTAGGATCCATTGTAGGATACCTAACACCTACCAAGCCTATAAATATATATATATATATATACATATATATATATATATATAATATATAAGATGACATGACACACCTCCTTAGGCTTGGTAGGCATTAGCACATCACACATGCAACACCCCCAAGCCCTTGCACCCCCATGTCCTGCAGCAGCTGTAGCATCTACCAGCGGGTCGACCCCTCGGGAATCGAGGTGGCATCGTCAGCGGCGGGTCGCAGCGGCGGCGGCGGTGACGGCGACTACGGTGGTGGCGGCGGCAGGGCCTGCAGCACCTGCGGCAGTGGTGGCGGCATCGAGGCACCCGGCGACGGCGGCGGCAGCGGTGCCCGAGGCACCCAGCGGCGTGGCACACACTGTGACGACAAGGGGAGGACGGCATGAGACCGCCAGCAGCTGCGGCGGGGAGGAGGGGGGTCTTCTGCAGCGGAGCCAGGGACCGCCATGGCTGGTGCGCTAGCTGCATGCGGGCGTGCTGGCCTGCATTAGATCAGCGCGCTGGCCGATGCCGTCCGTGTGCTGGCGCGGCGAAACCGCCACGGCAGCACAACGAAGCCGCCATGGCAGCGAGTCGACGTCATGGCAGCGCGTCGAGGCCGCCACGGCAGCATAGCAAGGCCGCCATTGCAGCCCGACGAGGCCGCCACACCGGCCTGAAAGTGAGAGGAGGGAGGAGAGTACGCGGCGGAAGCGTGAGGAGAAGGCTCAACAAGATCAGCCTGCTTTGATACCATCTATGAAGCTAGCTAGGCATGAGAAAGGTGAGAGGTTTTAACTGGGGAGAAAAGTGATGAAAGAAAAGAGGGTTGGACTAGAAGAGAGAGGGATACAAGAAGGGTATTGTACCCTCTACAGTAGGATCCATTGTAGTACATCTTACACCTACCAAGCCTACACAAATATATATAATTAATATAAATTAACAATAAGACCCACCCCCCTTGGAGAGCGTTCGTGGTGTAAGCCCCTTCTATTGTACACAACTAATCTGATTAAAAATGAAAATGACACAACTTTTGCCGATTACGCTGCCCCCCTTTTCCCGTGCACACGTGCGATACATTGCTCTCGACAGCCCCGAGCCGCTTTCTGCCACATGCACACATAGGCCAATGGCAAGTAGGCAATATGGGACCCTTGAATCCTCCGTCTTCGAGCCCACGTAGGGGCTGGTTTTGTATTGGCTCATTGAGTCAGCAAAACGTGACAGCACATTCGGCTGAAAACAATGAGCAGCACTTTCGGATTCAGAGAAACCAGGTACAGAAGAATATTTTGTAACAGAAGATATTCACAAAAAAAAAAAACATACGTAAGTCAAGCCCTGGGGCTTATTTTAACAAATTCGATCATTAGCCGTGCAAAAAAAAAGAGTTGTTCACCCTTGATGCCCTAGGGGCGCCTATCCGGGTGGATATGGTACGTGCGAAACCTTCGCGTCCACAGGCTCGGCCCTCGGTTCTCGCACCAAACCAGCCCTTGCCGATCTATTCGGCTCCCAACCTGATCCCAAGCCACCCTGAATGTCACAGGATCGAATGTGTCGAGGAAAAGTTGCACTATCGATTGATACACGGCACTTTTATACCTCTGAAGTACATCAGGTAACCAGGTTTATCCTATCCAGAGGGAATAGACCCTTCTAGAAATAGAATCACCCTGCGTATAGCCATGCGAGGCTACTGGCTTTAAGGGGTTACAGCAGGATTACACTAGATATAGTGCGCCAGTACATCCCGAGCCTGGTCGGTGATATAAGTATAATAATAGGATTAACCAAAGGATAATGGAATAGGAGAAATAGGAAACCAAATGGGATGAGAGAAAAAGAGGAATGAAATAGGAAGGAAATATGGAAAGGGGATTTGGTGTAACGGGTTTGTACTCTCACACTTCCCCCCCTCAAAGCTGGGTGGTAGAAGTAACACCCTGCTCGACAAGGTATTCGCGAAGAGGACGACGAGCGTTACGCATCTAGGATTCAGGAACCCAAGTGTCCTTTGAAGGATAATAACCCTTCCAACGAATGAGAAGCTCCACAGTGCCATTCCGACGATTGCGATGTGCGAGGGCAGACTCGACCTCGTACTCGGGTTCATTGTGGACGAGGACGGGCGGCGGCGGCGGGGTTTGGCGTCCTGTGAAGACAGTGTTAGGGTGTCGATAGGGCTTCAGAAGTTGGACATGGAAGGCGTTGTGAATCTTCCAGGTAGTTGGTAGGCGTTAGCGGAAGGTAACAGGAGTGACCTGTGCTTCAATGAGAAAGGGCCCGAAGAAGCGAGGTTTCAGTTTGGATGGGAGGTGACTGCTGTTGATATTGCGGGTGTCAAGTAGGACTTGGTCTCCCACGGTGATGGTGTGATCAGTGCGGTGGCGATCGGCCTAGCGCTTCTGTTGCTGCTGAATGTCGAGGAGGCGCTTGTCGGTCCGATCCCAAAGCTGATCCATGGTCGTGATGAAGTCATGTGCGGGTTGAACTGTAGCTGATGCTATCGGTTTTTGTGGCGTGAGCGGGTGGCGTCCGTAGCAGAGGAAGAACGGCATCTGTCCAGTAGCGGCGTGAGTGGCGTTGTTGTAGGCAAACTCTAAGACGGGCAGATGTAAGTCCCATTTAGAGATTTCGTCTTTGCATTATGCGCGGAGGAGCTGCTCTACAATTTGGTTGAGGCGCTCGGTCTGTCCATCTGTTTGTGGATGGTAGGCGGATGACATGGCGGTTTGGTCCCGAGCAGAGACATTAGTTCCTTCCAGAACTTGCTGGTGAACTTGGGGTCTCGGTCGGAGATGAGTGTAGTCGGAATGCCATGTCGTGAGATTATGTAGTGAACGAATAGCTGTGCTATTTCTTCGGTGCGTGCTGTCGTGTGTGTCGGGATGAAGTGTCCCATTTTGGAGAATTTGTGGATGACGACTAGGATTGCGTCATGACCAATGGTGGTAGTTGGTAACCCGGTGATGAAGTCCAGTCTAACCACTTGCCATGGCTGTTCTTGGACATGAAGAGGCTGTAGCAGTCCTACTTTTTTCTGCTTGCTGCTTTTCATCCGCTGACATGTGGCACACGAGGTGACAAATTGTTGGACGTCGGCTGCCATGTGGGGCCAGTAGTAGTGCTTTGCAATACTGGTGAGCGTCTTGTTGCTACCGAAGTGTCCCGCGTATAGGACATTGTTGTATTCTTCGAGTACTAACTAGCGCAAAGGAGGGTAATTAGGTACCCACATTTTCGTTGATCCCTTCCGGTATGCGATGTCACTGTCCCACTGTAGCAGGTGCCATTTTGCTGCCAAAGGAATTTCGGGGTCGATGGCGTACTCGTCTGTGAAGAGTCCCTTGAGAAGTGGGTTCATCCCTTTGACTTGGATTGCGGCAATGTTTGCAGGCCGACTGAGAGCATCTGCTTTATTTTTGTGGCCGGGCTTGTACATGATCTCATAGTGGAAGTGCGTCTCGAGAAAGTCAATCCACCGGACCTGCCGCCTGGAGAGGTTTGGTTGTGTCTTCAAATATTTCAGGCTGTAGTGGTCGATGTAGACGGTTGCTTGTCGTCCTTCGAGATAACATCTCCACATTTTGAAGGCGATGATGATAGCAAGGGCCTCTTTGTCGTGTATCGGGTAGTTGAGTTCTGCCCCGTGTAGTTTCTTGCTAAGGTAGGCGATTGGTTGCACTCCATTCCCCTGGTCTTGCACCAAGACTGCTCCCACTGCCTGGTCACTGCGTGATGTACAGGATTGGAGAAGGGATCCGATGACGCGGAGCGCTTCAGAGTGATGCTGAAAGGGTTCGGTGTAGCACGTACGGTGACGAAACTAGGGCCTAGTTCGTTGACGTGTACATTCAGTGTGCGCACTAGCAGTGTGCCTCAGTAAGGAATTAATGATTCCTTACACTCTCCCCCCTTCAAGATAAGCACACAAATAAACAAACTAGACAAACGCTAGCTTAATCTCCTCGTAGCGAAACCACTACTGTTGAGAATTTTGAGCTTCTTCAAGGAACTCCATCCGACGGTCGAAGCAAGTCGAAACCATTGTAGGCGATCATAGCCATCGAACCTGGTTGAATTACCCAGACAACCAAACGGGCTGTAGGGGAAATACCTGTAGCTCAAAAAACTCTGTCAAATATATATTGTATGTTTCTGTAGACTATATACGGTTGTGCCTTAGGGAGTACAACCCATTAGGTTATATTCCCTTGTATGCCTTGTTCTAGACATTCTTTCACTTGAACATGGTATCATGAGTAGGCAGGTCCCCCCCCCCCCCCCCCCCCCCCCCTAGCGCTTCCGCCCTAGGTCCGAGCCGCCTCGTCGCCCCGCAGCCCGTCACCTAGCGGCCCCGCAGCCCCATCACCTCGTGGCCCCGCGGCCCCGTCACCTAGCGGCCCCGCGGCCCTGTCCCCTAGCAGCCCCGCGGCCCCGTCACCTCGCGGCCCCGCGGCCCCGTCACCTAGCGGCCCCGCGGCCCCGTCCCCTAGCGGCCCCGCGGCCCCGTCCCCTAGCGGCCCCGCAGCCCCGTCCCCTAGCGGCCCCACGGCCCCGTCCCCTAGCAGCCCCGCGGCCCCGTCACCTAGCGGCCCTGCGGCCGCGTCCCCTAGCAGCCCCGCGGCCCCGTTCCCAGCGGCCCCACGAACCCATCCCCTAGCGCCCCCGTCACCTCGCGGCCCTGCGGCCCCATCACCTAGCGGCCCAGCGGCCCCGTCCCCTAGCAGCCCCGCGGCCCCATCCCCTAGCGGCCCCGTGGCCCCATCACCTCGCGCCCCCCCCCCCCCCCCCCCTTGCCAGCCACGTCACCGGCCTCCTAGCCGGCCTCCTAGCCGGCCTCCTAGCCGGCCTCGTCGCCCAGCTGGCCCCTTCTCCCTGCCGGCCCCGCCTCTTTGCTGGCCCAGTAGCCTTGCCGCCCGCGGCCCCGTCTGCTAGATGCCTCACTGCCGTCCTCGGCCCCTCTGCACCGCGCTACACCGCCCGACACCGCTCTGCACCGCACTGCACCGTACGACACCGCACTGCACCACTCTGCACCCCACTGCATCGCACTGCACTGCCCTGCACTGCACTGCACCGCAGTGCACCACACCCTAGAGTACTGCACCTCCCTCCACCTCACAGTACCGCACTTCACCGCACATCACCGCTTTCCGCCACGCTCTCCTGCCCAGTACTGTCTTTCTTCTGCTGCTGCAACCATGATGGCGGACTCGGCCCTGCGTTTTGATGTTGAGGGGCAGCCAATTGAGTTCGACTCGTGGCTCGTCGACCTCCAGCGACACCTGACTGGTCAGTGGCAGGACGGCTGCAGGCAAAGTTTTTTGGTATCAAGGAGGACTAGTTTCCCTGCAGGCAAGGAAATATCTCATCTGTGGCGGTCGGCGTATTGGCGGGTAGTGACATTGGCTTTTCGAATAAATTTGATATCCTTTGTGCGGGCGGTTTGAAGTTCTTCGACGGACTGCTACGAGCGGGGGACTTTCGACGTTGGTGGAAATGGGATCCATCTCATAATTCAGGAAAAAGGGCGAGTGATTAGTCGTGGCGGAGGGTGCATGGGTTGCAAATCTTCCCATTTGTTGATATCCGGCCAGTTCGTGCGAATCAACTGTTCCATGGTCTGATTCGTCCGTTCTGTCTGACCGTCGATTTGCGGGTGATAGGTGGATGAGAACTGTAGGCGGGTGCTGTATTGGTTCCACGTGCCTTGCCAAAAGCGCGAGGTGAATTTCGGGTCTCTATCGTTGATGATCGCCAAAGGGATACCATGCAGGCGAACGATGGTCGAAATGAACAGACGCACGGTTTCTTTGGCTATGATCATCGTGCGACATGGCGCGAAGTGAGCCATTAATGTTAAGTGGTTGACGACGACAAGGACCGCATAGTTTCCATTTGGTCTGGCCGGCAGGCCGATGACAATATCCATTGTCATGTATTGCCAAGGACGCTGGGGTGGCTCGAGGGGCTGCAACAGTCATGCTGACCGCTGGCGTGATGATTTCATCGTCTGGCAGGTCAGATACGTGCCCACGTACTTTTGCACATCCGAAATCATGTCGGGCCAGTAATACAACCATTGCAGTGCCTTCAGAGTCTTGTCGACCCCGAAATGTTCCGATACAGTAAGTTCGAATGGTGGACTTCTTGAATTAGTAATTCGCGAATTAGACGATAACTCGGAATTGAAATTCGTTCCGTTCCCGCTTTTACATAATAGGCTCCCCGCATGGTTGTGACCTACTAGTGGCCGTTGTTTACGGAAAAGGGATCGATCGAATATCCATGGGTAAATAGTCTGCTCAGCAACGTGTTCGTCTGGGCGATTCGTACAGTGGTAGTTTAGGCAGATGGTCTGGAGAGGGCATCAGCAATGTTGTTGGCACCCTTCTTGTCTGTGATTCGATATGTGCAGTTCGATTCCAGATAATCCAACCAGCGAATCTGCCGCGGGTTGAGATTTGGCTGCGCGCGTAGGTACTGTAGAGATTTATGATATGTTCGTACCGTCATGTCCACTCCCGTCAGGTAGCATCACCAGATCTTGAACGTGTGCACGATCGCCAACATTTATTTATCATGTACAGGATAATTTTACTCTGCCGACTATAACTTTCGCGACTCATACGCGATTGGCTGAAGGCCGTCGCCAAAATCCTGTAGCAAAACTGCTCCGATGGCGATGCCACTTGCGTCTGTCACGATCTTGAATGGTCGTTCTGGGCCAGCAATCCAAAGTACTGGTGGCGAGATTAAAATATTTTGTAATCCGTCAAGCGCAGCTTGCTGCTTCTCCCCCCACTGATAATGAGCGCCCTTATGAAGTAGGTCAGTTAGTGCCCCAGTTAGCCCCGCCATGTTGGGGATATATCGGCACACGTAATTGCTGAACCCTAGAAACGATTGCAGCTCCTGGAGGTTGGTCGGTGGCTTCCATTCCTGAATTGCCCGAATTTTACGGGGGTCAATTTTCACGCCTTCCGTTGAAATAATGTGCCCCAAAAACTCCAGTTCGGGTTTTAAAAACTCGCACTTCAAGCCTTTCGTGATGAGACGATTTTGCTGTAGGCGTTGAAAAAACGCTTCCAGGTCCTTTAAGTGCTGGTCCCGTGTTGTGTTGTAAATCAGGATGTCATCCAGATTTGTTGTAAATTAGGATGTCATCCAGATAAATGATCGCACATTTATCGAGTAGATCCCGGAATACCCCTTTCATCGTCAGCTGGAACGTCGAGGGGGCATTCATTAACCTGAACGGCATGACAGTGTATTCGTAACTCCCGTAGTGAGTACGAAACGCGGTCTTCTGGCAAACGTCGGCGAAGAATCAAATCTGGTGGTAACCGCCGCGAAGGTTGATCTTCGAGAAATAGCGAGTGCCTCACAGCTGTTCAATCAGTTCGTCCGCACGCGAGATTGGGTAGCAGGACTTTTTCGTAACCCGATTAAGGGCGCGATAATCAATGCACATTCAGAGGCCCCCATCCTTTTTGGGTGTGTACAGGATCGGGGCGGCGAACAGGGACGTACTCAGTCGAACGAGCCCTTTGGCCAGCAAATAGTCCAGCTGGTCCCGTAGTTCCTAGAGCTCGGGCTGCGTCAACCCCCATTGTGTCCAGATACTTGGTTGCGCACCAGGCTCGAGTTCGGTCCGATGGTCCTGAGGGCGTTCTGGTGGTAGGCCAGATGGTGGGTCGTCCGGAAAAATATATGGGAAATGACAAATCAGTTTTGTCAGATATTCGGGGACCGTTGCACAGAGCTTATCGATGCCGGCCGGTTGATCGTTGTCCGTCGATTCCTTCAGATGGACGGCGTATAATTCAGCGCCTTTCTTGACCGTGCATGTCAGCGTGATGGCGTTGACGCGTGTTGTTATCGGCTCTGCTCCTCGCCATTTGGGCAGTATCTGCCGACCATTCGCACACTTGACTGCGCACTCACCTGTCGTCCAATCGATCTGTAGGTTGTGTCGCCGAAGCCAATCTCGTCCTAGCAGCACATTGTAGCTGTCGAGTGTTGTCGCCAGCATTGACGCGCTGAAACCGAGATTGTCACCACACTTCATGCGAATAGTTCGCATGCGATTGCCTATTGCCAGCGGTGTGCCGTCGACCAATAGGGCATCGATCTCAGGCAGGCACTGCTCCACGGGTAAGTTCAATTTTCGCCGTTGGTCAGTGAATCAGGCAATGGCACGCGCCACCATTGATGAAGTTTTTCACCTTTTTTCCGTTAACCCTTCCTTCTACCAGCACAGGGTGATCCTCAGGTTCATCCCCGTTATTCGTCCGAAAGTGGTCGATAGCGTGTACCGGTACCACTACCCGGTAGAGATGCTGTTTCTCGGGTGATGCAGCCGTGTCAGTATGGGCCCGTCTGCTACTGATGAGAGTCATTTGTTGGCCTATCCCCATCGTTGTTTTTCTTGTGCTTCACGCCAGGGCAGTCAGCATATCGGTGACCCGGCTAGTGGCAGTGAAAGCACTGTCGCTTTCTGCGATCTTTGTCATCGCCACAATGCCGTTGATCGAGGGCGTCGTACAGGTCGGCGATCATCGCGGCTCCTTGGAACGTCGCTAAAAGTCGCATCCTCACTTCATAGAGAACATCAGATTTGATTCCAACGATGAACCCAATTTTTTCCTCGGCTTCTGATAGGTCGGTAATTTGGTCGCATAGTGCCTGAAATGATGACGCGTAATCCTGGACAGAGATCAGCTGGTGCCCAGTGTCCAGCTTTGTGCATGTGTTATCTGAGGCGGATATGGGCTCGAACCATTCACGCGGAGCTGTACCCCACGCTTTCCACGTGTGAATCACGGTCGGTCCGAAAATTGACGTTGCATCCCGGGAAGCAGATTCCGAACTCCCGAAAAACCCCTGAGTGTTCCCTGCCGAAGTCCCCGTCTCACTTAGCATCGATCGCCACCAATCCAGTGCAGGTCCCCTCAATAGTGAAACAGCCAGTTTGATTTTTAAATCATCAACAGCAATTCCGACGGCAGCGAAATAAAGCTCCATCGTGAAAAGCCAGCCAGTGATGGTGGTGTTTTTGTCCATGGGGTTAAACAGGGGCGGCATCGGCGACTTTATCTTGGCCACTGGTACAGTTGGTGTGGCTGCGGCTGCTGCAGAAACTGTTGCTGCTGCTTCATTGCGGGCGGCGATCGTTGTCGCAGCTGCCGTGGCACGTGCAGCGGCATTCGTTGCTGCGGCTGCTTCATCATTACGGTGCTCATGTGACACTTTGCGTGCGATTTTGTCCAAGACTGTTTCGACACATCCCGTGCAGGTGGCGTCCTCGGGGGCAGCTGACTTTTGGCGCGTAGTCTCTTGCGCCTGGCAAAGTTCGGTAACTTTGGGGTGAAGTTTGTCGTTGTCGTCTAGCATAGCTGTCAGGCGAGCCTCCGTGGCAGCGAATTTTGCCAGCAACTCGTCGAACTGTGCCTGGTCCATGTGGCGAAAACTATGCCGGGTGGGCAGGGGAATATCCGTGATTACCCATGCTCAGGTAAGAGCGCAAACGATATCGTATTCTGGCGAATTAATTCGTCTAATTCGCGGCCGACCGCTTTGCAGCTCCGAGAGCAAATCACTCCCCCCCCCCCCTCCCCCCGAAAAAAGTTTTCCGCCTACGGAAGTGGGTAGGTCAGGAAAGTAGCTCAGAATACCAGATGTTATGTGTGTTTAACCAGAGTAGCATGTAATCGAATGTCGAGGTTCAGAATAACATAATGTGGTACAATGGAATGACGAGGCAAGATATAGGAACACCAGAGCAATCCTAGCCGCGTGATCGAACAGTTTTATAGAAGGCATCCAAGGACGTGGAGCGCTTCAGAGAGACGCGGAAATGGTTCGGTGCTGTGTTCGAGCTGAAGCTAGGGCAGATGTCGGTGTCGTATGGGGTTGATGCATGCGGTAGCGGTGTGGTGCGCTAAGGAATGGAAAATTCCTTAGAGGTGACGCACATTTCGTAACTGCGGAAATGTGCGTTGCATCTGACCGTCTCACACCTGAAAATGTCAAAGCTCGAGTTTAGAATAGTAGAAAACCATGATTACTGACCATGAAAACAGTGCCAAAAAAATTGGGCGAAAGTAACTTCGGCGAAGTACCCCTAACGGACAGACATTCTGGCGAAATCACGGAACTGTGATCGCATCATGGAAATTCTTTGGTAAGAACCGAGGTCAACAGTGCGTGAACAGTGCGGCGGGGCGGGAGGTTGGGGGGGGACAAACAGTGGCGCGAGACCCCCACAAAAATGCGTTCAAAATGGTCGCAGGCAAAACTCAAGAATACTGAGATGAGCAGTGACTAGGTGCTTGTCCCGTTTCCCGTGAGTTGCGATGCTTTTCGAGTTTGTACTGCGTTAGGTTTCATTTGACAAAAACAAGTTCAGGATTCTTGAACTTGATAGCAAACTATTCTGCCATTGCTGACTCGGCTAAGCGCAATTTAGAGTAGTTATGTAAACGTTCTTGTGCGAACGTGCTTGCCTTCTGTACCATGATTTGTAATCTTGATTCTAGTGAATTTTGTGTGAATGCAAGCTTTGTCAAGCTGTGCTGTTGAACACACAATCTAGAGGCGAACTTCTCCTTAGAGAACTGGAGAGCTAGAGAAGCTCTATCTGCGTCAGGCACTTCCGCAAAAGCTCCTGTTATAGCATAAAACTCTGCATGGTGTGGTGAGTGTGGAATGAACACATGAACGATAGAGGTCGAATCTGCTACGTTAAGGTCTCGAAGAAGGTTGTGATTGTCGATATGACGGACGGCGATACGGGTGTCCGTGAGGTGGTCGATGATCTTGATACGCAGGAAGCCTTGATAGCTTGCAATGAAGACCTCCTAGAGAAGGAGCTAAACTTCAGACTGATGGGGTTACAAGCTCAGTAAGAGATGGATCATCCGCGGGCGCGGGCAGAGGAAGTCTCCCGAGTCAAGTAGAACGTGGAAGATTTGGCAGAAAT